GGTCTCAACAAAATCTAACTGTAGTGTTGCAAAATAACGTTAATGTTACCACATTTATATATTAAAAAGCATTTAAAGCCTTGTGAAGTATAATGTCAATAACAGATATGTGAGTTATTTTAATATTTTCCGGTGTCGTACCTTGACTGTAGCTGGTAATGTCGGTAAACTGGTAACAACACGGCAGCAGGTTCCAACCTCCACCGTACAGCACCGCAGAGTAGCATGTAGCATTAGCTCCTTAGAATGAGCTAACTCGGTCACGTCGAGCTAGGCGGGAGTGGTTTCAGCAACACATCACCTCAGCTCCACCTACGACTCGCCTCTTTGCCCATTTTTGGTTATCCGCGCGGTGATGTGCTGCCAAGATGGCGCCGGCCAGCTCCACCAATTTTGAGCTTCAAAGCGGCTCTTCAGAAACCAACAAGTGACGTCACGGACACTACGTCCATTTTTTTTTTTAAAGTCAGAGAGAGTCTGTCAGCAAGAAACATGTTTAACATAATTTATGGTCATGTCTATTCAGTTACATGTAAGGCTGGTCGTTTAGTCCAAATAGACGACTATAAAACAAAGTAAACAAGTTAGGTGTTGGACAAGTCACTTCACTTAAGACTCTAATGAAGCAAGCAAAGGAAAATAAAGCCGCTCATCCAGCCGATCTCACATACTGCATCTGATGAAAGCAACTGGCGGCTCTGCGAGTAAAATCAGCTGATGAAGGTAGGCTATGAATGAAAGCCTCGGATTGCTATGATGGAACTCAGTGATCGATCAGTGACGAGTGATGTGACTTGCATAAATTTAATGTAGCCTATGCAGTAGGCTAGTGTTAAAGGATATCAGAAGAAGATATGAAAGCCCAAAACTGAGCATCGACTTAGATTAACATACACACTGAGTAAGTTTCTCTCAGTTTACATGTATGTGTTAATGTATGAGATAGAGAGAAGACACGCTTGATGTGAGTAGCCTATAGCAGATTTGGGGAGGGCCCATTCACTGGACCTTTTCAGGGGCCCAGCTATTTCTGTGGGTGGGCCTGGAGTTTACTTTCCAGCTGGGAGTTTACTCTCAATACGTTTTGTCGGGCGGAACTCAGCCCAGGGTTGTGTGACAAGCACAACAGAGAAGTTAAATATGTCAAAAAGAAAGAAAGAGGAAAATGAAATGTGCTGTGCTGAAAATAAGAATTTAGAAGAAAACAATGTTGGTACAAGAGGCAGCTAAATGTGCCTAATTAACCGACCTAACCGCCACTAATAAGTAAGCTTAGATTATTTATATAAGCATTTATGTATATACATATAGGCTTTATTATGTATTTATATATTATAAACAACAGCCGAAGGAAGAAGGAACAGGAGGAGGAGCTGCAGGAGCAATAAGAGCTGCAGGAGAAGGTCAAGGAAAAAAAGCTGCAGGCGGAGGAGGAGAAGCAGGAGGAGAAGGACAATGGAACCAGAAACAGTGACAGGTACAGGGGTCTGTGCAGCATTTGGCAATTATCCATAGAAAGAAAAAAAAAAGGATTATTGTTAGTTAATGATATTCTTATCATTCATACTGTATGTAGCTGCACAAGCAAAGGCAGGGTCCAGCACAGGGGAGCTAAGCCAGGGAGAGGCCTACTCAGAGCTATTTTATGAGACTGCATTGTAGTTTTATTATATTTAACTATTTTAGCATTCTGACTGACCTGGTGTTGTTCAGTGCAGTGGTGCCATGCTTATACAAACTTAAGAAACAGGTGTCATAAAAAATGTCTTCAAGGTCTTCATCATAATGAAATTGACTATATCCAAGAACAACACTATTCATTAAAATAAAATCTTTCTCTGCGCCCACCCATGGTGCTTGCATAAAAGGCATCTCTGTCTCAAAGTCCCAGGCTGAATTTTAGCACCAGTATATCTCTGCTGATGAGAAACAACTTTTCATTATTCTTCTTCTTCAAATCCTACCTTTTAGTCTGATGAACTTTGACCTACACCGAGGCTGACGCCACGCCCCCTGAGCTACATTCTGCAGCTGGACCCTTCTTGTGACAGCATCAGTAGCCACCTACCATAAGGGTTAGGGTTACAATTTTTAATTTATTCACGCACTTTAAAAAGATTTATTAAAAGCTTCTTCCTTTTCACATGTTTTTTTACAGCATTATGTGTTGATATTTATATAATAATAGGCTGTATAGTAATTTATTGGGAGAAAAGTAGTTCTGTGTAAAATCAGACGTGAAGCACCCTAATATAACCAAAATGATATGATCCTCGTTTCAACGGCGCTGCAAAGATTTGACCGTGAGATTGGGAGTTGAATCAGACTCCTCCTATTGAATCATCAAATCTTTGACTATTCTGGGTAACCCCTGCCTACATTTATTTTTTTATACTATTTTTGGTGCATTTAATGGCATATTAATTAACTTAGTAATTTATTTTTGATTTTGGAAATTTTAGCACTTCATACTGGGCACCATGTCACAATGTCTGTTCAAAACTTTATGGATTTAATCCAGTGTAATTGAGATCTGATTTCTACATACTCTTCTCCTCATGAAAGAGGTCAGGAATGGATTGAATTTTATGATGGTTAAGGAAAATTTAGACAATACTTTAATAATATATAGTTGAAATATACTGCATTCTAAATTTTGAATTAAATATTAAACTATTCAGGACAAGAAAAGCAAAAAGTCAAGTGTGGTCAACTTGGTTTTGCCTTATTGGCTTTCAGTTTGAAAAACAAGCCAATGTTAACACCCAAAAGCAGTACCTTCAGCCCGCACTCCAAACTACAGCTGAACTGACAGAGATTATCCGCCCGAAGTTGTGCCATTTTTAGGGGAGGACTGACGGGTTCTCTGGACAGTATGGCAGATTTTAGATTTAGACTTTGTCTCAGAGGGAGATTGTTGTTTTCACAGCGAGATATAAACACAGCAATATGGATAATTACATCATTCATGTGCCAATTTCTGTTATTGAATAAATATTGAATAAAGAGTTTTAGCAATCTCAAATATCAGTTATGGTAAGAATGTAATATGTAAGACACTAAGCTTTGCTAGCTTAGCACTTAGCACTTTCCAAATGGAACACAAATTTGAAAAAAGGTCCCCTGTGGAGGTTTGACTGCTAGTAGTGCTATGAAGCAATGTCTTTACAAGTACATCACCAACATCTGCTGTTTGCTCTGGAATCTCTCATACATTCACTCCACTACCTCCACAGTGACTTTTCATTGGAATTAGCGAAGAAGTAGCACATCCTGCAGATCACTACTCGTTTATACAGTGAGTTCCTTTCTGTTTATTACTATTTGGTACTAGATTAATTGTTTTTAACACCTTTAAATAACTTGACAACAGCATGTTTTTAAAAAAAAACCATTCGATTATAATTTGCTCTTTGGAAATTACATTTACCTGTAGCCAATGTGTATATATTGCAATGAAAATAATTTGAAAAGTGTTACAATGAGCTGGGAACTACTGGAGATTCATAATTTGTACTAAGTGGTAATTCTTCTTTGCTACAGACTTAATTTTGACATGACCACATTCTTGAATTGAACTGAATTTCAAAGACTGTAGAGTTGAAGGACTAAAACTTAGATTTTGTTGAACAGTTCACCTACTCTGGTGATCTAATTTACTGCAACAATAAAAAAAATAACAATCCAACTGAAGCTTCATGCAGGGTGAGACAGGGAGCACCTGGTAATTATACATTGTCACAGTACGTCAAGTGTGGAAGACATCCTGAAAATTTCATGTATATCGCATGATGATTATCACACAGAGCTTACTTCCTATGTGGGGCTATGACTGTACTGAATATTGGCATGTAGATGTGTTCAGGACGGGACCGTTATCAAGCATTATTAAAGTTTGTGTCACTGAGGATTTAAATGAGGACTGTATTCACTAGTCTAAAGAGGTTGTGTTGTCCAGGTGGTGTCGAACATTAGAAGAACACCCACAAAGCAGCCTTGTTTTACTTTCTTTAATCTTGGTTGCCTTTAATAGTAGTCATACAGATGTGTGATTCCAATAGTTATAGTGTGTGGTCTGCCAAGAACAAAATTAGCAATAATCGGAAACATTGTCATTGCATCACATGAACAGAGTTATCATGCTGCCTAATGCATAACCAATATTCATTAAATCACAAGAAACACAAAGTTACACTAGCAGCTGGTGTAAATCATATCTCTCAGTTACAAACATAATACAACCAATATAACACAGAACCATTGTTTACCAAACATAGTAGTTGTTTAGTTTCACTTTAGCTAATAATCTCTGCTTAGCATGCTAATAGTTAGCATTCAGACCTGTTCCTCACAAGCTTCAGAACATATCAATGTCTTAAGGGTTGTCTGAGATAATTTGAAGGTGCGCTAGGAGTAGTTCTTCACAGCTTAAAAGTAATCACTTGCTGTTGACAGTAGGCGGCACTATGACTGTGAAAAAATATATGCTTATAGATGTCTTCAGGGCGGGACTTTATCAATGTAAAGTTTGGTGCAGATGTGAGCATGTACACGGAAGTAACAACAGCTTCCTGTTTCATGGAGAATCATCAATTTTCAATGCCACACCACAAACATGCCCTCCGGTGAAACCAGTTTGTACAACTTTTCATCACCGGTCTATATGTCTAGACATGATACATGTGCCACAGAAATTTCATATGTCTTGGTAAAACTTGTCGCAGGGGCTGCTCTTTAGGGGGCGCTAGCGAGCCATTTTGCCACATTGCACCCATGAGCGAGACCCATAAAGCATGACATTTTACGCCCCTTCTGAGTTTTCGAGCATGTTTAAGCCGCCAAAAATGTGTTTCACTTGCAGAAAAATTAAGAAAGGAAGAAATAAAAATATTTCCGTCAGTTTCAATGGGTTCCTTGCATGTCTCTCGTGCTCAGGCCCTAAATATTATTATGATGTTTTGCATTCTAAAGATTAGGATGGTTCTCCTGTTCTGCATTCTGAAGATTAGGATGGTTCTCCTGTTCTGCATCCTCTGCCTGATGGCTCCAACTGGCTACAGTGAGAGCACAGGTCCTCCTGGTCCTCCTGGTCCTCCTGGTCCCAAAGGTGAAATAGGATTTCCTGGGCCACCTGGGCCAGAAGGAAATCCAGGTGGGAAACATTGACTACTGCAATCACAGTCACAGAACACTCTTATTGACCAGACGCCAGTCTTTTCTTGTCTTTATTCTGGCACTCCCTGTTGTAAAGACAGGGGAGTTTGTGTTAGTGACAATCCTGCAATCTCTCGCCAGTCTCCAAAGGTCCTCTGAGGTCAGCTTCCTTATATAGTTTCTTTATTTGGCTCACCGTGTCAGCTGTGATGGTCAGACTGTCAACTATGTAAACAAAATATCTGAAAATATACAGGAAGGATGACATATCATGGATGGGCTTGGAAAAATCATGCAAAAATGATGACGATGTGCCCAGTGTAGTTTTGTCAGTCTGTCACTTGTCACACTCATGCAAATTAAAGGAAGACTGACATTCAAATATCTGAATACTTTCATGCTCACCAGAGGATAAACCTTTCTGACTTGGCCTTCAGACCTCTGAGAATAGCCAAACATGTCTCAATTTATCCAGACAACATTTTGGTTTTCAAACAAACATTATAGCCTCACAGGGCTATGAATTTTTAATAATGTTTTGTGTTTCTTTCCCTCAATGATTCATAGGATTTCCTGGAACGAAGGGTAGACCTGGACCTCCTGGACCTGCAGTAATCTGTGGAGGTTATATATTTTCCAGTTTTAAAAAAGCAGTATTTCCCTAGATTAATTCTCTTAATTTTGCATCATTAATATCAATACGCTAACAGGGTTGTCTAGCGCCACCCTCTTATTATTTAAAGAACATCTCTTTGAAAGGTACTGTTATAAGAGTGGCGTAGTTCCTTAAAGGAACAAGGCAGTGCGTAATGTGTGCAGTGAGTGTTTGGTTGACAGAAAGAGAGCGAGCGGCAGAAAGTGACAGTCAAAGCAAGTAGGGCAGAGGAAAGGTTAGCAGTAAGTTATCAATCTGGCCTCTGGTACATTTCTTTTGACCCATCTTTTCTTAAATTGGTCCAGTCTTAAAACGCTCAAGTACCCCTTCAAAAACTAATGGTTAGTTTTATTGTTGAATTGTCTGTTTTTGTTTGTTTGTCTAATCCATAAGTCATTCAATGTGAATTCAGTTTGAGACATTTATGTCAAGGTACATAAATGTCTGAAGTGTGAAAAATGATCATTCAGTGTGTTCAGAGAAGGAAAAAAGAAAAACAGAGAACACTTAAGCAAGAAGTGAAGAAAAGCTTTCATTTGTAGGGTGCACATCTGTCAGCCAGTTTGGTAACTAAACTTAATCTGTTTGATCCAGATGTGTTTGACTCCATTAACCTGGACATTGAAACCTTAAAGAACAGCCTTGCTAAGTTAGAGCTGGGTAAGTATCCTATCCAGACATTACAACCTGGGGCAAGTAATTTTTTCATGTTTTTTTTTATTAATGTATATGGTCAGGATAACTTATCTATTAGTTATTAAATTACTAATTAATTATTATTATTAATAATAATGTAACAATTTGAGAACGTTTTACACTCCAGCAGACAACAAACTTGAACACCACCATTTTGTCTGTAAGAGCAGCCACAGCTAACAAAAGTCAACCACACAAACCTAAAGCATGAGAGCTGCAAGTAGATAAAGAGGGCGAGAGAGCAACAATACTTGGCGTCATCAGTCTTAATATATTTACATACTGCATTATTATTTTTAGAAGGATCAATCCTGGAAATCCTGCAGTGTAAAAATTGCTAATATTCCAACGTGTTTAGCAGACAGAAACACTATGAAACTAAAACATAGTCTGAGTTTGAGAGCCAGACGGGCCAAGTGACAATTTTGAGGTTTTAGAATTGATGTTCTCACTTTCTTCATTGATTCCTGATTTGTTGCATGTTGTTCTTTTTTTTCAGCTAGAAACTATGACTTTGTCCGGAGGGTTGGTCAGAAATACTTTGTTTCCAACAAGGAGAGAGACTCTTTCTCCAGGGCTTCTGAGTTCTGCTCCCAACAAGGCTTAGAGCTGGCTTTGCCCCAGAACGAGGAGGAGAACAGAGTACTGACTCAAGTGTTTGGGGATGTTGACAAAACGGCCTGGATCAACGTCAACAATAAAAAAGCAGAGGGGAATTTTGCAACAGATCTGAAAAATCGACCTCCTACCCTGTACCAAATAGGGAGAAGGGCAGCCAGACAAATCCATCCAGGATACAGGCTGCACCATGCTGTCAGAAAATGACAGACTGAGATAACTGAACAGAACAGACTAACACAGAATTAGACAGGGAGGCAGACACAGATCAAAATCAAACTAAACAGGAATCAGACTGAACAGCACTAAATCCAGAGTAGACTACAAACTAATAGGGAAAACAGACTGAAACAAGAAACACACAACAGACTGACATCAAACATAACTGATGCGCAGACATATTCCTCCATGAAAAAGTATTAAAGTACATGATCAAAGGACAATTTACATAGGCTATATAAGAAAAAGACAATGTTTTCTGAGAAGATTTTGCTACTGTAAAGTATACAGCAGTGAAGCAGTTTCATTTATTCATTCATTCAAGACTCCAGGTGAATTTATTTACTTATTGGCTGATTTGCCTGCCTAGCTAATGTATCTGTTGAAAAGTGAAATGGAAAGCTTACAGGATTGGTACAGTGGTTATGTGGATGTTAACAAAAACAAAAGCTAAGAAGTACTTAAGTAGATTTATTCTCATTGATTTCTACCAATGTGTGTGTGTGTGTGTGTGTGTGTGTGTGTGTGTGTGTGTTTGTCAGGACATTAGTGATTTACACTGACCATGTTATATGGGGGGAGAAATTAAAAGGAAAGCAAACATGAAGTGTCTTAGTATGGAGTCACGCCACCATGAGCCTCCAGAACAGTTTTGGTGCTCATTGACAAGTCTGAAACTCTATTGGAGGGATGAACATCATTCCTCCACAAGATATTCCCTACAACCGCTATTTAATCAGGTAATTTCAATGTAAATGTAATCTAGTTGAGATCAAGATCTCTTTTTTTAAGAGAGCCCCGAGTGCAGCAGATAGAAAAACAAACATAGCCAGACATAATGAAAGTACATATAGAATCATCCGCATTTTTTTTGCACAAATCATTTGGTCTGCCCTGCTGCTGTGGCTCTGTGTGGCTCTCTGGTTTATGCTCATTGCACAATTTGTAACTTTTTATTCTTTTTTACTTATATCCTCAAAAGAAAACAAAGACATGTTATTGGTGCTACAAATGTCTTAAAGGGAACTCATCCATGCTTCCTAAAGACCATTTGTAGTCAGATTTGACATCTGTGCCAGAAACTTCCCGTCTTAGTAATTGTTTTCAAAAGCTTCAATTTATATGATTTTATTGAAAATCTGTAACCTCACTGCACAATGCACTAAATGTGCCAACTGTTAGGGGCACTTTTCTTGAAGTACACTAATGCGGTAACTGAAGATCATTATTCCTTCTTAAATACCACAGAAAGAGATGTAAAAATAGTTGATCGAAACAATAGTTTAAAAATGAGTCAGCAGCAGATCTTTTTTTGTTACTTTCTTAACATTGACAAGAGCTAAAAAGCTTTGCTAGCTCCCACTTTCCAAATGGAACACAAGTTTAAAAAGGTATCTTGTAGAGGTTTGACTGCAAGATGAAGATATACTTTATTAATCCTGCAAAGCGAAATTAAGTGTTTTTTTTACAAACACACACAAGAAGGACCCAAACACATGTGTCAACACATACAAACATCCAAGCTGGACTCAAACTGTCCTACACGACTGAGCTACTTTCTGTAAGAGGGTGATAAAGCAATGTCTACAAATGGGTCCCTGTTATGAGGACATCATCAGCATCTGTTGTTTACTCTGAAATGCATTTCTTAAGTATTCACTCCAACTTGATCTCAGTCAATTTTCTTTGGGAGTAACGAAGGTAGCACATCCTGCAGATCACTCCTCATTTGCAGTGAGTTCCTTCTGTTTATTATAATTTGGTGTTAGATTTTGTGTTATTAAAACCTTTTAAATAACTTGACAAAGGCATGCTTGGTGCTCCGCGAGTTAACATAATTTAAAGAAGAGCCCATAAAATACATAATAGAGATTTGATCTACATTAAGAACACTGAAGATAATTAGGCTACAAATTTACTCCATGCGACGCCAACAAGCCTCCCTGGCTTTGTCGTCCGCCACGATATTAGATTTAGACGTTAACTTGTCTTTACATTCATAATTTCCTAACACTACCAATGTACATTCCTCTGGAGAAATACGGAGCATGCGCCGTTGCGAAAAAACTCTGCCTGCATGGCCAAACACACTCCTTTTATGCGAACGCACACAAACTCCAATTAAGTTAACACTGGGTTAACGCGGACTCAACTAACCAACATCTTATACACTGTCGTCGTACCGTTTAATTCCAGTGTAGGCATTCAGAGTTTGTCAACCCTGAGTTTGCCTGATAACCCAGAGTTAACTGTGAGTACGTTGAACTCCCTTCGTGGTACAGGCCAGTCTGTGTACTTCTGTGTTAGTTGTTATTGTTACCCCATGTCTGCTCTGTGTTCTGTTATTAGTTAAGTCTGTGGTCTGTCGATATGATTAGGTTTTAGTCTGTTGTGTGTTTCTTCTCTTGTTTCATTTACCTATGCCTTATGTTCAGTTCTCTTCATGTTCGGATCTGTGCCAGCCTAGCTCTTGTCGTATTGTTATCTGGTGTTTGTTTCATGCTCGGTTTCTGTTTACCTGTCTAGTGTTATTGTATCTCTGCCTGATTAGTTGTTGGTTTATGATCATTCTGTGTTTAGTGTCCAATTACCTAGGTTATGTTTGTTTCCCCATTTGCCTCTCTGTCTGCAAGTCAAGGTTAGGTCTGTTCCCCCAGTTATCCCTCTGCATGCCTGTCTCTTCTTCTTCTTCTTCTTTAGGGTTTAATGGCAGTTGGCAAACCAGTTTAACGGTGCATTACCGCCACAAGCTGGTCTGGAGTGTGGAACGAGAGATTAAGCAGGAAATAAATGAAATAAACAAAACAAACAAAAAACCCCCCCATAAATTAAATTATTTTTTCTAACTCAGTTTCTTTAAGAAACTTAATTATATGACAATATATCTGGCCTGCTGTTTTCCCCAAGAGACCTGTCAATGAGATATCATGATGTTTTGCCTTCCGTAATGACTGAAAAAGGCGTTCCCTATTGATAGTGTATCTCCTACACTGAAAGAGAACATGTTCAACCGCTTCTAGTTGGTTACAATATATACATTTCCCAGTTGGGTGCTTACCTATTTTATATAATGAAAGGTTGAGACCTGTATGTCCTATTCTCAGACGAGTGATTATATTTTCTTCCCTACGTTTCCAGCCCACCATCCTTCCGGCACCAACCTGTCTCTGTACATTATATAGGTGCCTTCCAGTTTCACTATTGTCCCAATGCTCCTGCCAAACTGACTGTGCATAGGTCCTGATAAATGTCTTAGCTTCATCTTTAGTTAATGGGGTTTGTAGGTCTACATGTTTGATTTTGAGTGTTCCTTTGGCCAGAATATCCACCTGCTCATTTCCCTCCACACCAACATGAGCAGGAACCCAAAGGAAGCATGTGGATAATCCTTTTAGCTCCATCCTGTACAATATAAGGAATATGTCATTGAGAATATTGGATCTAAATGATGATTTGCCAGATTTAATACTCATTAGAGCAGACAAGCTGTCAGATGCAATAACAGTATTATTTGTTTCCCTCTCTTCTATCCACTTCAGGGCCAGTACTATTGCAGTCAACTCTGTGGTATACACTGAGACATGATCTGATATTCTTTTCTTGATATATGACTCACTTGCTGGGATAAAGACTGCTGCACCTGCACGCCCTGTATCAGGATCTTTGGAGCCATCTGTGAATATAAACATGGAGTCTGAAAAATGTAAATCAAAGTAATTCTGTACTTTACTGCATGCTGGAAGTTTCTTTGACATATCCTTCAATTCCTGCTGTATGTTTAGATCTACAATTGGTGTTGGGAATAACCAGGGAGGAATGGAAGACTGTGACACTGTAGGGCTGTAATCTAATTGTTGTAATCCTATGACTTCTGCCTTTGCATCACCAATCCACCCAAAACTTGTGAAATTTGTCTCATTGTGTTCCCAGCAATCTATTAAGAGACTCTTGGCAGGATGAGAATCACATTGCCCCTGGAGATTAACCCAGTATGCCAACATTAACTTTACTCGCCTGATTCTTAACGGCATTTCTCCCATTTCCACCTGCATTGCTGACACCGGAGATGTTCTGACTGATCCACTGCAAATTCTCAAGGCCTGAGCTTGTAATACATCCAACTTCTTAAGGTTTGATTCTGCTGCTGACATGTACGCTACACATCCATAGTCAAAAACGGATCTCATGAGTGCCCAGTAAATATTTTGTAGAGCTGCTCTGCTTGCTCCCCACTCTTGTCCTGACAGACAACGAAGTATATTGATGACCTTTTTACACTTGTTCTTAACTTTATCTAAATGAGTATTCCAGGTGAGCTTCTCATCAAACCAAACCCCAAGAAATTTAATTGTTTTGACTTGCTCAAGTGGTTGTTCATATAACTTCATGGAAATAGGCGTGACTTTATGCCGCCTTGAGAAACAGATCACCTGTGTTTTTGCAACAGATAACTTGAATCCCCATTTATTTGCCCATTTTTCCACAGCAGCTATTGCAGCTTGCATTTTCTTACTGACGTGCAACACATTGCGGCCTCTTACCCTCAGAGCCCCGTCATCTGCGTACAAAGATTTCCCTACACTTTGTTCAACCTGAGAGATGTCATTTATCATTATGTTGAATAACAATGGGCTGCACACACTACCTTGCGGAGTTCCATTTTCCACCTTATATACACTGGAGTATTCTGTGCCAACTCTTACTTGTATTTCCCTGTCAAATAGAAAGTTCATAACCCAATTATATGTTCTACCACCAATACCCAATGACTTCAACTTAATAAGTAACCCTTCTTTCCAGAGCATATCATATGCTTTTTCAACGTCAAAAAATACAGCTATCAGTATTTCTTTGCTGGTCTGTGCTTTCCTGATGTCTGATTCTACGCACAGTACTGAATCCATTGTATTCCGACCTCTACGGAACCCACTCTGGTACGGGTACAGAAGAGCTTTACTCTCTAGGAAGTATGTTAAACGCTCTGTGACCATTCGTTCCATAATTTTGCATAAGTGTGAGGTTAATGCAATAGGTCTATAACTGGAAGGGTCTGACTGATCTTTTCCTGGTTTTGGAATGGGCACTATTATTGCTTGTTTCCAAGCTAAAGGAAGTTGGCCAACATCCCAAACTTTATTAAACAAACCCAACACCGTGTCTAGTGCACTATCTGTCATGTGTGCCAACATTCTATAACATACAGCGTCCTTCCCTGGAGTGGTCTGACGAGCACTCGTAATTGCTCTTCTTAGCTCAAACATATTAAACGGTAGATCTAACGGATCTCCTGACACCTCTCTTTTCTCTGTTATTTTGGGATTCTTCATTAAGATTTTCTCTCTACACTGCCTAGCCTCATCTGTGAGATTACACGAACTATGAACCCTTTCAAATGTTTGTGCAAAAAGTTCCGCCTTTTCTAAGTTATTGACAGCCATTTTGTTCCCAGTGTTCAAC